GAATATTAACCGGATATATATCGATTACTATCACAATCGATAGAACCCAACAGGGGGGATTATTATCGATATATATCTACATAGATATTGATCGATATATATCGGGCTATATTTTTTGCTGATGTATGCAACAACAAATTTCAAGAAAATTAATTCAATTTATTGTTCGATTTGTTGAGCCTCTTTATATATTGCAAGATAAATCTTTTCATGAGTTAATTCATATCTGTGCATCTGGATTTCAAATGCTATGTGACAAAACAGCCAAGGGATTGATTTATGAAGCATATAATTGGAGCCATAATCGGTTAAGATCTTTACTTGGTAGTAGTGCAATAGCTGTTTACTTGTCTACAGACTTGTAGACAGCAAAATCTTGCTATAGTTTTTTAGGTATTATGGTAACTTGATTATCCTCAGATTTTAGGTTTCATAAGACATTACTCTCTTGTGACCATCTCGCATATCCACATACTGGAGAAATAATTAGTAAAGAATTATTTCGTGCAATTCATGAATAGCAACTTGAAACAACAGTTTTTGCTATAACTACAGATAACGGAGCTAACATAGTTAAAGAAATAAATTTATTACATGAAAACTACATTAATCATATAGTACGGCAGCCTTGCACTGTATATATATTGCAATTATCAGTTAAAGAAGGACTCAAATAATATAAAGCTGTCCATCGTCGTGTAAAAACTTACAAGCTTTTTTACAATTTCTAAAACAAGCACAACGTTTACATGAAGCACAATCTAAATTTAATATAAGTGAAGACAGTATTATTGAAAACCCTCTTGACGTTTTAAAAGATATAAAAACAAGATGGAATTCTATATATCTGGCCTGGAAACGCACTTTGAAATTGCATAATGCAATGCGATTTGTTTTAACTTTATTACTTGCAAAAGCAGATTGTGCTTTACAAAAAGAGTGCGAAAAACTAAAAAGATTATATTTATCAATTAATGAAAAAGAGTAACTAGATTTATTTAATTTTACTTATTAAATTACCTTATAATGCTGTACACAGGTCGAATATATGAATAATAGAATATATCTATATAGTTCTATTATTTTGCCAATATGTATAAGAGGGCAATATAGAAGAACCAATAATAGTAAACTAACAGATATCAATATTTTAGTAAAATAAAATATAAATATTGGTTATATAATAATATATCTTTTGTTTCATACTATTATCCTGATATTTAACTTGCAAGTTCATAGCATTATAGCAAGATATAGATATATAAAATGTATATAGTGATATATTTTTTAACTCTATTATTATCCCGATATTCAACCTAAATGTTTATAGCATTATAGCAAGATATATGTATATAAAAATATACATAACGATATTCTTTTTTTAATACTTTTATTGTCCTGATATTCAACCTAAACATTCATAGCATTATAGCAAGATATAAGTATATAAAAATATATATAATGATATTCTTTTTTTAACTCTTTTATTGTCCCGATCTTTAACTTTCAAGTTCATAGCATTATAGCAACATATAGGTATTTAAAATGTACATAATGATATTCTTTTTTTAACTCTTTTATTATTCCGATATTCAACTTGCAAGTCCATAGTATTATAGCAATATATAGATGTATAAAAATGTACATAATGATATTCTTTTTTTAACTCTTTTATTGTCCTGATATTCAAGTTCATAGTATTATAGCAACATATAGGTGTATAAAAATGTACATAATGATATTCTTTTTTTAACTCTTTTATTGTCCTGATATTCAACTTTCAAGTTCATAGCATTATAGCAATATATAGATATATAAAAATATATATAATGATATTTTTTTTTTAACTCTTTTATTGTTCTGATATTCAACTTTCAAGTTCATAACATTATAGCAACATATAGGTATTTAAAAATATACATAATGATATTCTTTTTTTAACTCTTTTATTATCCCGATATTCAACTTGCAAGTTCATAGCATTATAGCAACATATAGGTGTATAAAAATATACATAACAATATTCTTTTTTTAACTCTTTTATTATCCTGATATTCAACTTGCAAGTTCATAGCATTATAGCAACATATAGGTATATAAAAATATACATAACGATATACTTTTTAACTTTTTTTATTATCCCGATATTCAATATAAATGTTTATAGCATTATAGCAAGATATAGGTATATAAAAATATACATAAAAATATACATTTTTTCTTTTATTATCCTGATTTTTGGTATAGTATATATGGTTTTCATTTGCAAATAATAAAATATATTCATATGCTTACATATCAGTATACAGTATACTTATATACATATATTATTTGCGCTTTAATAATATGTATTAAAAAAAGTTTCAATAACCTGATATCAAAATAAGAAAAGAAAAAAGTTTTTCTTTTTTCTTTCTTTCTTTCTTTCGTTTGTTTTTTTTTTTTTCTTTTTTTTTGTTTTTTTTGTTTTTTTTTGTTTTTTTTGTTTTTTTTTGTTTTTTTGTTTTACTTTTAGTTGTTTTCACTTTTCTTCTTCTGATTTTCTGGTTCTTCTGGTTCTAATAAATATTGTAGAAAGATTTTGGTATTTGCAAGAGTCTCTATAATTTTAGTATCATCAATGTTAGGATCTTGATAGTTAACATCAGATGCACTGATATTGAACTCTTGACGACTAGAAACTCTAGAAGTTTCTCCTTCCGATATTAAAGAAGGATTCCTATAGGGTTCTAAACCAGAAAAAGTATATAAACACTAAATAAAAATACTTTATATAGCTGGTATCTATTACTATTTTACAATACATACCAACAATTTCTTTCTGCTTTCCTTTATCAATTGCAGCTTCTTCTTCGCCAACTTCTTTTTGCTTTTCTTTATCAACTTTGGCTTCTTCTTTGCCAACTTTCTTTTGCTTTTCTTTATCAACTTCGGCTCCTTCTTTACCAACTTTTTTTTGCTTTTCTTTATTAGTTTTTTTAATAATTTTATTAAATGTTTCAAAAATTGTTGGTTGGACAAGTGCTTTTTGTCAAATTCAAATTTAATAATTTAATATGATCTTTAGTTAGATTATATCTAGAAAAGATAATGGCTGGCTATTTTAGGCTTAGCTAGTCGGCTAAGTCTAAAATAGCTAGCCGTTGCTTTTTCTAATTACACCTAACTTCCTGATAGTCATTATATTGACAGGCCATTTATCTGATATTACAAAGTGATAATTTACTAATAATATATGTACTCATGGCTAACAAAAATGCTAACCCTAACCACTATATAATGTTAGGTAATGGTTTGTCAGTGAAATGACTATTGGAAAGATAAGAAACAATGCTATACCTGTAGATAAACTAGGAACTTTTTTTGTGTGAGACCGCGTATAATATGCTTTATTCAAAAAGTTACTAGGCCTGGCAATAGGTTTGTATTCTTCATTAGGATCATTAGGATTATCATTATCTGGAGAGTTAGCAGGATCATCAAAGTTTTCATTATTGCTATCGGAACTGCCTGTATTGATATCGGTAAATTGGAATATGACCCAGGCCAATGAATCAGGAGGTGGTGATGAAGTTCTATCTATTAAACTCGAGGCATTCCTCTAGTGATATCTGGAGCATTTTTTTTTTACAAACGAAAATTCTTCGGTCGACCACAAAATTTCTTTCAACTGGAGGTAAATTGAAAAAAATTATTATTATTAGGAATTATATACATGTACCTAAAGATACATAAACCCGCATTATGTGACCTATATAGATCTTTATCAAAAGTCAAATCAGGTGTAATGTTACATGACCAGAAAAATTCAAAACAAACATTCGTTTTGACAAAAATTGCTTATTTCACAAGAAATTGCATATTAAACTATCTTCTGTATATTAATAAAAAGTTTTTCTTGAGCAATTTTACTATGTAATTAACTAAACCCAAATTCTAACATAATTCTCACCCTAACCCTAACCTAATATAAACAATATCGATATTACTGTAATCAAAATAATAGGTACAAAAAATTTAATGTACTCTACAGGTATATCTACATTAACTCTTATTATTATTATTAAAAATAATAATAATAATAATATTATTATTATTATTAAAAAAATAAATTAATAATAATAATATTATTAGGAGTTATATACATGTACCCGAAGGTACATGTACCCACATCACGTGACCTATATTTATATACATAGTTATTAT